TACTTCTAGTAGGCTTGGGGCACCCAGTTGGGCTTGGGCTTCTCGCATCCGTTTATGGGAGTCTGCTTCCCCACGTACCCGTTTATGAGAGTCTACTTCTAGTAGGCTTGGAGCACCCAGTTGGGCTTGGGCTTCCGAATGACTCACAAGTGAGGGGGCGTGTTAGAATATCACTTGTGAGTTGTCCCACATCGTTCATACATGAAAAATAGATCCACCTTATAAGTCTAATGGGCTATTCCTCCTTCCACCAATTGGTTTTGGGATGGAACCCCACTTGGGCTTCATATGGGCTTTCTCCGCTTTTGGTGCACTTCATGTTAGTGGGACCGCACCCGTTTTTCCCTCAGTTTGTTACAAACGAAATTCATAACACCATTAAATTGAGAGTTAATTTAAAATTTTAAAACATCTAATTTGTTACAAATAAAAAAAATAGAAAAATGAAAGAAAATTTAGAAAAATACGAGATTTTTAGAGAAAATTAAGGAAAGTATGAAGCTCTTGCTTGATTTTCTTCCTATAGTCTATTTTTTTTTTTTTTTTGAAAAATATTATGCAAATATTTACTTATTATTTTTTATGTGAGTAAGCACCAATCTTTTCTTTTCTTTTTTTTTTAAAACTCTTAATTTAATGGTGTTATAAGTTTTGTTAATTCTATGACTTAATTTGAAATTTTATAACATTTAAGTTCAATAAAAAAAATCTTTCAGGCCCCAATTTGATAGTTTACCCATCTTTCGGGTCTTGTATTGAATTTTTTTTTTTTTTTTATTATAGACGGATATATAAGACATGAATTTATTCCCAATATTTTTTTCCTTGTCTTTCTTTTAAAACTCGAAAGTATGAAAGATTTAATAATTTAAACTATAAATATATCTAAAAATTAATATACTTTTTTTATTTATTATTTAATTATTATAATATATCAAATTAATAATATTTTGATAAGTTTTAATTTGACATCTAATTATACATACGAAATTGATAAACATAATATTTATCTATATAATAAAAATTAAATTGCCTACTAATATTAAATGAAAATAGTAAATTTAGATTCATTTAACTGCGAAGTAGTTATATGACATAAGCTAAAAAAATTATGATGATATACGATGAAAACTCGTATAAATGTCGAGTGTCATTTTTAATATAAATAATAATATACAGTTTCTGAAAAAAAAAATATTTGAAAATTAAATAATATATATATTAAATATTATAATACACATATAATACACCGAGTATTAAAATATCACAATTATGAAATTTAACAAATTGAATTAACAGTTCTAAATAAACTAATAAAAAACTAGAATAATGAAAAAAAAAAGGGAAAAAAAGGCAGTCAAACAACCAAACGTCGTCAGATATATGGATAAATTTGAGGGTGACCTGACGACACAATTGTACTTGGGATTAAAATTAAATGAAAATTACGAAAGTAACATTCTGGTTCACAATTATGAAACCTGGTCTCCCATATATGTCGTTTTCTAAAGATTTTACTTCATTTTTCCAAACTTTTTACTCTACTCAAATGCTAGTACAACACAAT